TGGTATATGACCATATTTTACCAGCCAAAACTGATTCCAAAATGAAAAAAGATTTGGGTATATGGATCTAGCTGGTGACCTCGAGCCAAACAACATTCCCCTCAATCAAGAATGTAAAGCTTCCTTTTTTCTTCAGTTTCTCCCATGGCAGAAGCTGGGGGGGGGGGATTGGAAGGGAGAGTAAATGATAAAGATTGTGAGGGAGAAGGAAGAAGAAGATGGATAGAAATGAGAAATTGAGAATGAGTGTATGGGAATGAAGATGGAAGATGAAGATAAATATAGGATGGAGAGAAGTATAGGGTAAGGAAGGGGGGATAGTGGGGGTTATATGGAAAAGGACAAACAGAGTAATTAAAGCTGGGCAGCAAACACCATGCTCTGACCCTACTACTATCACTGCACCTTAATTGGCTCCAACCCAGACATGACCACGCCCAAACCTAACCAAGCAACCCGGCCCCTATCATATCTCTCTCTTTCAACGTACATTTATTACTCTTCTGTCACTCTTTCCTAATAGACATTGTTGTGTTTAGCAATGAATGTTGGATGTTTACTTTGCTCGTTAAATGGGTGGATCCCTAATAATGGGTTTAATTACCTTCTTTTAGCTATCCAACACTTGTTTCAAATCGTGTTTAAAATGATTGGATCCGTAGTCAGTGGGTAAGAGAATCTTCAATGCGATAATCTGCATGGTGCACATGTAGCATGAGACATATGCCATACGAATATTTGTAAATAAATTTTCTTTTCTTATTTGAATGATTTTATATAATTTTGGTAAATTTTTTCTCTACAATGTCAAGGAGACCGTCTAGATGTTACCATTGCAGGGGAAAACTTACCAAAATTATATAAAATCGTTCAAATAAGGAGATAAATAATTTATTTGCTAATATTTATTTGGCTATCACTCATGTTACATGTGCAGCGTACACATTGTAACATTGGAGATGTTCTAAGTGAATATCACTTTCATTAATTAACTACTCCTTTTATCCTATAAAATTTTTCCAAGTTATCCTTAAAAAAATCTTTCTATTTTCTTTTTTAGACCATTTTATGTGACAAACATTTATTTATTTATTTTTCCTTACTCAACTAACACCATTCATTTTTTTGTTGAAATTTGTGCAAAAGATAAAGAATTAACTGAAATATGAAACCATTCTTTACTAAAAAAGTAATAAAGTTAGTGAATATCAAGAAAGGAAAATTAGCAAATTTATTAGGGACGGGGAGTAAATAATTTACAAAAAAATGATAGACGTAAAGATGTTTTAAAATTTGCGTAAAGAAGTTGAAAATTTTAGCGTCATTGCACGCAATAATTTTAGCGTCATTCCAAATTAGTTTTAATTTTAAAAGGCTAATCATTCCACGCAACAATGTTGATTGATTGAGAATAATTATGAGCTAATCATAGACTTGGTAAATTAGAAGCCCACGCACAGTACGTCGAGCACATGCAAATTGCATCGATCTCTCATAATCCGATCGATGTGTCCAACGTATAGATAAATTGTTCTCTCTTGTCCAGTTGTCCTATTTTATTAGTCCGTACATTCCATATTATTTTTGAGAAAGTATGTTGTGATAATTAAGCACATCTACGAAATATAAGAAAAATACTTTCAAATCATAATGCATGCCTAAATTATTTTACAAACAAGAACAATTAAATACAAATTAAGTTACATGGATTCAAGTATATATATATACCACATTTCCAAAGTAAAATTTCCAACAAAATATTGTAAAAACTAAATACGCAACCAGTGTATACACTTGACTTGACCCAGAGGCCGAAACATACACTTGGTTAGGTATTTCAATATAAAGACCTTGGACATATACTACATCCATATTTAAAAGTTTGATACACTTTTCTTTTGGGGTTGTATTTAAAAGTTTCATTTTTGGTATGTTTATCCTTTATAAAATAATCGATTACCCGTTTACTCTTACTTTATCTACTTTTTATCTTTTCTTTCATACTTTTACACATTTTCTCCTACTATTTCTGCACTATTCACTATCCCTCTTAATTTACTCTTTAAATCATGTGTCCAACCTAATATAGTGTACATTAAAATACAAAGAGAGTATTAAACTGGATCATAATGTTTATATTTGAACTATATAATACATCCTCATCCATTTTCATGGTGCAGGGTATTTTAATTATCCTATATCATGGTCACTTTTTCACTCACAAGGTCTACTACACTCTTAGCCATATCAATATAATCACTTTCATTATACCATATTAATATGAACTACTCGTAGTTTACTGTGCATTGTGTATAAAACGTCCCTTAAATTTGGCTACCGTCATTGTATCTAAAATCCCGTTTGGCTCTCTAATATGGAATTTCTCTCGATAATACATTAATACCAAGTCATCTACACACGAGCCTTATAAAATAACATGGGTTATAAAAGCATGAACTGTTTAATTAGATTACAATACTATTTTAAACTTGAATCCAATATAATACAATACATGGAATAGTTTTAATATGACCTAATTGTTTAAAATGATTAAGTTGATTTAGTAATCAGTTTGGCCATTATGTCACTTAAAATTTGGAAAACTATTTCTAACCTGTCTATGACATTAGCATGTAACTTAAGCCAATCATTATCAACATATTAATGTAGCTTAGAGATCAGATATACTACGTACTCCGGATAGATTAATGGAATGAATTTGATACTTGTCCATGAGGAATAATTGTGTTGCTCAATATGATGTATTAAACTAATAAGCCAATGCTGTCGTTTTGTCTAGCTACTTGATTAGAATTTAGAAGATACTTTAAAATTTTAAACCAACAAATTTAAACACATTAATTAAGTCTAAAGATAAGATAAATTGATGGCATGGCCGGTCCTTCGTCAAGGCTGAGCTAAGCCGTTGAGGAGGCTTAGGCGGGCCTCCAAAAATTGAAAATTTTAGGGGCCCAAAATTTTATACGTAGTACAACCTCCATAACTATAAAATCTTCCCACTTCAAAAGTGGGTAAGATTAACTACAATGACTAGACAACATTATAAAAGGTCGTTTTGCCCTTTTGCAGGCATTCTGAAAATTAATAGGAACAGACCAAGAAAGTAGGTCACATGTGTACAAATCTACAATTATAGAAATGAAAAAGTGTGGAGGGAAATTATTCGATACTCCCTCCATTTTAATAGTACACTCCTGGAATCTTTTGTATATATACATGAATTTCAATACAAAGAGATCTACAAAAGCTAACGAGCATTAAAAATGAGAAGTAATTTGTGCTCTTGCATCCCAGACCTAAACACTCTCCCTGTTCGTACTTGGCAGCAGCTCCATGCTCCCCTCATTGACCTCAATGAAATCCCTGTTGCAGAAAACGGAGAAGCACAAGAAGAATTACAGAATGTTTGTTGTGAAGAATCAATCAATACAAATGAAGATATTCATGTTCAAGATGCAGAGATCAACTTACCAGAGCCAATCACATTTCAAGCAAAAAAAAAACATTGAGCAATGAAGAAAGGAGACGAATTACACAACTATTACAACAACACAACGAGGGGAAACTTCATAGAGGCATCATTAATGAAACAGCCGCTACCTTCAAAACAACTAGGAGAACAATCTACTCTATATGGGCAAAGGTTAAGCTACAAATACTACAGGGGGAGGTAGTGAATGCAGACAGAGGGTATGCAGGTCATTCGGGCAGAAAAGGTATGATTCTTGATTCGGAAAAGCTTAAGGACATACCACTTCAATTTAGAAAGAATCTTAGATCAGTTGGTTATGCAATGGGAGTGTCACACATGACAATGTGGAGACTGTTACAGAAAAAACAGGTTAGAAGACATACTAACTCCCTAAAACCCCGACTAATAGATAACGGTAAACTCAAAAGGTTACAACATTGCCTTGGTCTAATCGCACTTGAGTCTATTCCATTGAATCCTACTCTTAAACACATATATGAGTACATTCACATAGACGAAAAGTGGTTTAACACCACTAAGGAAACTGAAAAATACTACTTGGTTAATGATGAACCAGATCCATACCGAAGTTCTCAATCAAAGAATTTCATTTCAAAAATCATGTTTCTTGCTGTTGTGAGTAGGCCTAGGTTTGGTGAGAGGGGGGGAAGTGATTTGGGATGGAAAGCTAGGAATTTGGCCTGTCACATACATAGGGGTTGCTATTCGGTCAAACCTATAACAAGTATAATGCGGGACGTTATGAAGGAAATGTTTCTATCTAGATTATTGCCTGCTATTAAAGAAAAATGGCCAGATGACCTTAATAGGAACATCATCATTCAACAAGACAATGCAAAACCACATATGCTTAGGGTTGGTTTGCAACCACTTTTAAAAAAGCACTTCTCAGCTTTTGGCTTTAAAAAAGCACTTATTTTCCCAAACACTACAACTTTTATTTTTCTCGGCTTCCGCGTCAAAAGTGCTTTTACTTTTTCTATTACACAAAAAACACTTATTTTACCAAACACTACCCACTTTTACTTTTCAAAATCACTTTTTTCTCAAACACAATCAACTTTTATTTAATCACTTCTCCCCATTTCATTAAAAAAAGCACTTTTTTAAAAGCAGAAGCTGTTGCAAACAGACCCTTATTGACGATGCGGGTTTTCATAGAGAAGCAGCTACTGAAGGTTGGAATATCACTTTGCACTGCCAACCACCAAACAGCCTTGATTTAAATGTACTAGACCTGGGTTTTTTTCGAGCCATTGATTATGTTAAAGACCAAAAGCCTAGCAGTTCACTACTAGAATTGGTTGAAAATGTGGAAGAATCTTTTAACCAACTTTCGGCCACAACCCTAGAAAAGGTGTTTCTATATCCTATCAAACTGTTATGCAACAAGTGATGAAGTGTGGAGGAGAAAATAATTACAAATTGCAGCATTTGGGAAAAGATGCATTGCAAAGGCAAGATCTACTACCTAAGAGAATTGGTGTGACTAAGCATGTCACGCCCCGGACCTTCCCGGACACGTCAACAACCCGCCGTACAGTACGAATAGTCAACCGCAGTCCAACTCATCCATACTATACAAGGCGTCTTGAATACCATTCACATTAGTACATCCATAAACAATCACAATGTAAATCATTTAATTAAGCAGCGGAAATATTAATACAAGCATTCGAGCCACACGTGGCAAACACGGGCGTGCAAGCCCTAAATAATTATTCGGAAAATAGTATCCATGAGCATTAATTTGAATGTTTTAAAACAGAAACGGAGGAAGCACGAACCACGTCTCCTCTCCTTGATAATCCGCCCGAAGCAACGGTGATGGTAGCACCCTTCAAGTTCTACCTGAAACTGTGAGGTGGCCTCCCCCGTGAAGGGGAGGTCAGTACTTGGAAGCATTTGACAAGTACAATGACAACTATACTAAGTATAATCAAAGTTTCAATTTCCAAGACCCTCAATCTAGGATGTTATTATATTATAGGTCATAACCCGTGGTTACCCTCTTTTGAAAGTATACTTACTTTATATATATATAGTCAAGTAATCGCCCGAAGGCCCATGTTTACTTTGGAAACATTTAACCCTTTCCCCGTGACTTCAAGCCACACCCATCTATATTAGTTTACCATGCTAGAGGCTTTCTCTAGTCATGTTTTGTCGTGCTAGAGGCTGACTCTAGTCACTCCACTTGGTGTTAGAGGCTTCCTCTAATCACCTTACATACGTTGTGCTGGAGGCTTCCTCCAGTCACATTACGTTACGCTAGAGGCTTCCTCTAGTCGTCCTACACGAATGCTGGAGGCTTCCTCCAGTCATTCTTCATCGTGCTCGAGGCTTCCTCTAGTCACGATACTAATTCACTAAGCAATCTCTATGCCTAGAGTTCCTCTACTATGAGTAACCTTCAAGATCCACTCCTACGGTAACTTAGCGTTTACTCATTTCTACCTTAAGACATTTCATATGACTACTTAAGGTACATCTTTCACAATCCAAACCCCTAGGATTTGTTCTATCACTTTTCATGCTAACATCCCCGGCTAGTATTTCTATACTAGTCATTTAACCTTAATAAGCCAATGCAATTTCATAGTAATTTGGCTATTTCAATTTAATTCCACATTCAAGTATAACTTGGTTCTAATATCAAAATATCACTTTTATCCTTCCATGACTTCCTTACATGAGGTAAAAGTATATTTATCACAATTCATTTATAGTTTACACGCTATTATACCATTGTATTCATAATACATAATCATACACAATTTAATCATAAATTTGTATATTATGCACTTTTACTTATAAACAATAATAATCTCATTTAGGCATTTTTTTTTATATTATAAATAAATCATGCCAAACACATATAATTCATTTAGGTAATCTTATGAAATTAACCCAATAATTATAAGCAATATAGTCGGTCATCCTCACCTTAAGTGAGCTTAAGCGTGTTCTACGCTCCGCGGTTGAACTTTGACTATTTCCGGTGAACTTTGACCAACTCCGGCCAACTTTGACCAACTCCGGCGAAACTCCGGCGAAGCTCCAAAGTACTTTAATCAAGTTTCTAACAAGGTTTTAACATCATAAAACCTTAATCAATACGAATAACCTCTAAAAGGTTATTTTCCGGTGAACTTGTCGGTTTGGCTCCTAGGTCCGTTTTTGGACTTAGAACCCCCTTCCAACCCATCATTCTACACTAACTCATGTGGAACAATCCTCAATGTTCTTCACATGATATATATCTCAAATGATAGAAGAAAAATAAAGGAAAAGTTAATATAAGGTCATTACCTTAATCTTTCTCACTTTTCCTAGCTTTTTCTCTCTTAAATCTTCCCTCTTGGACCTCTATTGTTTGAGCTCTCTTCAAGGATGGGGAGAGGAGGATGGAGATCTTTTCTTCCCTTGCTGGGGTTGGTGCTGGCCGAGAATAGGGGAGAGAGGGGTTGGGGTTGGCTTTTTGTCTCAATAGGCAATTATGTGTGGGTTGAGAGACCCACCTTTGTCCTTTAGATGCCTCTCAAGTCAACCCAACTTCTACCCATCTTCCTCCTCTCCATTCAGCAGCCCCATGCCTCAATTTGTGTGGCTAAATTCGTGGGTTGGCCCCCACCCATGTGGGAGGTCAACCCCTTTTGTCCAGAAGTGTACACTTTGTCCCGAAAGTTGTATTTTTCGGACAGTTTTAAATATATCTTATTTTATCGGGTCAAATAAGATATATTACATGTTCCCAATCATTATGACCCTTAAAATGAATATACATTTCCCAACTTAAATTTATAGGTCTCCGAAATCCAATTTCGGGCTTTTGTCGGTTAGATTGCCAATACCGGTATTTGGGCCTCTTTTGACCAATCGGTCAACTCAAGACCTTTCCATGATTCAAAAGAATTATCCACCCCCATATAAATATTATCTAGACCAAGATGAATAATTTACGTGGTCCCGGGAATATCGGGCGGCCCCCGCTCCTGGTGCGGGCCCCACGCGCGAACTTACTATTCACGCAAAAATTAATAAAAATTCATAACCTCGTAAATCCGTCAACCATTCCATAAGGTTAAAATACAATATTCACTTTAAAAGTAAATACATTTGGGGACGGTGTTACAAGTTCACCCCCCCTTATTTGGGATTTCGTCCCCGAAATCCACGTGTCTAATCGAAGAGAAAAGGGTATTGCTCTCTCATTGAGACCTCAGTCTCCCATGTTTCTTCCTCGACCCGATCACTCCTCCAAAGGACTTTTACCATAGGAATCTCCTTGTTCCTCAATTTCTTCACCTGTTGACCCACAACCTTTACCGGTTCCACTGCATATTGTAGATCTTCACGTATCTCCACCGGTGGCTTCTCAAGAATATGAGATGGATCTCTCACGTATTTCTTGAGCATCGATACATGAAACACGTCGTGTATCTTCTCAAGTTCCGGCGTCAGCTTGAGACGGTAAGCCACCGCCCCAATCCTTTCAAGGATTTCAAACGGACCAATGTATCGGGGGTTGAGTTTTCCCCTCGATATAAATCGGATGATGCCCTTCCAAGGAGAAATTCTTAGGAAGACCTTATCACCGACCTCGAACTCCAATGGCCTGCGTTGTTTGTCGGCATAGCTCTTCTGCCGATCCTGGGCAGTCTTGAGTCTATCCTGAATGACTTTCACTTTAGTCTTGGTGATTTCAACAAGTTCAATCCCCTCGAGCTTGGCCTCGCCGACCTCGTCCCAACATAACGGTGTCCTGCACTTCCTCCCATACAATGCCTCGTATGGAGGCATGCCAATACTCGCCTGATAACTGTTGTTATAGGCGAACTCGACTAGAGCCAAATGTTTGTCCCAACTTCCTTGGAACTCCAGAGCACACGCCCTAAGCATGTCCTCCAATATCTGTATCACTCGCTCGGATTGTCCATCAGTCTGTGGATGAAAAGCCGTGCTAAACTTCAATTTAGTACCCAAAGATGCTTGAAACTTGGGCCAAAATCGAGATGTGAATCGTGGATCCCTATCCGAGACAATGGATATCGGGACTCCATGTAGTCTCACAATCTCCTCCGTGTATAGCTTCGCCAATCTTTCAAGAGGGTAAGTGATGTTAATAGGCAAAAAGTGAGCACTCTTGGTGAGCCTATCAACTACTACCCATACCGCATCATAGTTGTTCACGGTCCGTGGCAACCCCACCACGAAATCCATAGTCACATGCTCCCACTTCCATTCTGGAATGGAAAGTGGCTGTAATAACCCAGCTGGATGCTGATGCTCTGCCTTGACTTGCTGACAAGTAAGGCACCGACTGATGTACTCGGCTATCTCTCTCTTCATACCGGACCACCAGTAACTTTCTTTCAAATCGCGATACATCTTCGTGCCCCCCGGGTGCATGGCATAAGCCGATGAATGAGCTTCCTCTAAGATGGACTTTCGGAGCTCATCATCCGCCGGCACACACACTCGGTCACGAAATAATAAAAGACCGTCGTCTCTTTCTCTGAAGTCCTCCACCGGTCCCGCTTGCAAGCGTTCCCTGATCTTCACAATTTCATCGTCAGTTTCCTGACCCTTCTTGATCTCATCAAGCAAGGTAGGTCTCACCTCAAACCGTGCCAATAAGGCACCATTACTGGACACCTCCAGTTGGGCTCTTAATGCCCTCAAATTAGCTATCAATGCCCCAGTTGAGCTCTTCCGGCTCAAAGCATCTGCCACTACATTTGCCTTGCCTGGATGGTACTCAATCACTAGGTGGTAGTCCTTTATCAACTCCATCCACCGTCTCTGCCTCATGTTTAACTCTTTCTGAGTAAACACGTACTTCAAGCTCTTATGGTCAGTGTATATGTGACATGTCTCTCCGTAGAGATAATGTCTCCAAATCTTCAGTGCGAACACCACTGCTCCCAACTCTAGATCATGGGTGGGGTAATTTACCTCATGCTTCTTCAACTGTCGTGAAGCATAGGCAATTACCCTCCCCTCCTGCATTAACACACATCCAAGCCCTTGGATGCTCGCGTCACTATAGACATCGTACCCCATACCCTGTTTGGGTAATGCAAGTACCGGTGCCTCGGTCAATCTCTTCTTCAGTTCAGTGAATCCTTTCTCACACTTGTCATCCCATACAAACTTAGCTCCTTTTCGAGTGAGCTTTGTCAGCGGTGATGCCAAAACAGAGAACTTTTCCACGAACTTTCTATAGTATCCTGCCAATCCAAGGAAACTACGAATTTCCTTGACGTTCTTTGGCCTCTCCCATTCGGTGATGGCTTCTATCTTCTTGTTGTCGACAGCAATTCCCGATCCCGAAACCACGTGCCCGAGAAAGCCAATCTCCTTAAGCCAAAATTCACATTTAGAAAATTTGGCATAGAGTTGCTTCTCCCGTAGTGTCTCAAGAACGAGTATCAAGTGCTCCTCATGCTCTTCCTCACTCTTTGAGTAGATCAAGATGTCATCAATGAACACAATCACGAATCGGTCCAAGTATTTGTGAAATACTCGGTTCATCAAGTCCATGAATGCCGCCGGGGCATTTGTTAACCCAAACGACATAACAAGGAACTCAAAATGCCCATACCTCGTGCGGAAAGCGCTCTTCGGTATGTCATCCTCCTTAATCTTCAATTGATGGTACCCCGACCTCAAGTCAATCTTTGAAAACACGGTTGCTCCTCGTAGTTGATCAAACAAGTCATCAATCCTAGGCAAGGGATACCTATTCTTGATTGTGACCTTGTTCAGTTGACGATAGTCAATGCACATTCGAAGTGTTCCATCCTTCTTTTTCACAAAAAGGACCGGTGCTCCCCATGGGGAGTGGCTTGGTCTGATGAAACCGTTATCCAAAAGCTCTTGCAATTGGGTTTTTAACTCGTTAAGTTCAGCGGGTGCCATACGGTATGGCGGTATGGAGATTGGTTTGGTGCCGGGCTCGACCTCGATCACGAACTCAATCTCCCTATCGGGTGGAAGTCCCGGTAAGTCTTTAGGAAAGACGTCCGGATACTTGCATACTACCCTAACATCATCAATGCTCGTCTCTTCTTTGGTTTTGTCCACCACATACGCTAGATATGCATGACACCCCTTCCTCATCATATTCTTAGCCCTCACAGCGGATATGATACAACTATTGGATTTTGCCCTATCCCCCTCGAAGCGTAAGGTTATCCCTTCATTGCCTTCGAGTTCAAGTACCTTCGTGTAACAATCGACCCTAGCATGATGCTTCTCAAGCCAATCCATACCCAGGATTGCATCGAACTCAATCATACTCAGCGGCACGAAGTCACACGACAAGTTTTGGCCCTCCACTTCCACCTCACACGATGGATAGTGGCTATCTCTCTCGATGTCTTCCCCTAGGGGTGTGGATACCAATAGGACTTGAGCCATCGGTATCAGGGGTACGTTAAATCCCCCGGCGAATGCCTCACTCACAAATGATCGTTGCGCCCCAGTATCGATGAGGATTCTCGCACATCTCCCATTAATCTTTAATGTTCCTACATTTATACACCATTTGAGATACATTTTCTAATGTTTTTACACATCTTAGGAGGTTATTAAGTAAATACTAAGGTTTGGAATCAATCGGGGGTCCAAACGTAAAAGAACGGAGCGAAAAATTTCGATTTTCGGGTTCTGGGGCCCACGCACGGCGTGCCTGGGTGGCACGCACGGCCGTGCGTGCCTCGGATTCTTCCTGCTCACCACTGCCTCCCAGGCACGGTGCCAGGCACGGCGTGCCTGCGGCCGTGCCTGGCCAAATTTTCTTCGGGCGATACTGCCTTCCAGGCACGGTGCCACGCACGGCGTGCCTGTGGCCGTGCCTGGCCAAATTTTCTTCGGGGCGACACTGCCTTCCAAGCACGGTACCACGCACGGCGTGCCTGCGGCCGTGCCTGGCCAAACCTTCTTCGGCGCGCCACTGCCTTCCAGGCACGGTGCCACGCACGGCGTGCCTGTGGCCGTGCTTGGCCAAATCTTCTTCGGCGCGCCACTGCCTTCCAGGCACGGTGCCACGCACGGCGTGCCTGCGGCCGTGCCTGGCCGGCAGTGGCTGTTTCCCAGCCGATTTGGCCTAACTTGCCCGGTTTGACCCCGGGGTGGCCCGCACTCAATCCCAACGACGCATATTATCAAAGTAAGCCTAGAAATGACCAGAATAAGTGTATTACCTGCAACGGAGTAGGGATTAGCCCGAGCATCGGCCTCGGTCATTGCGTACACTCTCGCTTGAGTCCTTCCTTGGTTCACGGAGGGTGCGTTGCTTGTACTTGCCCCGCCGTGGTTCGCGCTTGCGTTTGGTGCCCCACCCCGGTTTCTACTCACCATGGTTGCACTGCTTGGCCCTGATGACCGGTTCCCACCAAGTTGAGGGCAATTGGGCTTTATGTGCCCCGTATCTCCGCATTGGTAGCACCGTGGGGGATCACGACATTTGCCCTCGTGATTTCTCTTGCAATTCCTGCACTTAGGCTTTGTCGGGGCTTGTGACCCCGAGTTTTGCCCACCCATGTTGGGATTCCCCCTTGATGGTGGTGCGGGTGCCCTGAAGGATCCTCCTCCCCCGTGATTCCCCTTCTTGTTTGAACCCTGGGGGCCATGGTTCTCCCATTTTCTTTTCTTTGCCTCCTCGGCATTTCTTCGCTTCCTCTCTTCCCACTCCTTCTCTCCTTTCAACCCTTGTTCCACGACTTGACTAAATGTTATATTAGGCAATTGTGTTGCCCTCTCACGTATGTCAAGGTCCAAGGCATCCCAGAAGTGGTTCACCATCCGATTTTCATCACAAATGTACTCCGGTATGAACTCGGCAAGCTTTCTGAATTTGTGCTCAAGTTCCTTCACCGTGCATTCCCCTCCTTGGGTCAAATTCGTATACTCCCTCCTCTTCAAGTTCACCTCGAAGTCGGAGTAGTATTGGCTAAAGAATTCTTGCCTGAAGTTCTCCCAAGTGACTGCCTCACCATACTTCCCCTTGACACCGTCCCACCATGTGGACGCCATTCCTTCTAGCAATCTTGTTGCCACTCTCATCTTCATATGGGGTGGCAGCTGCATATCAAGGGCCGCTTCATTGAATCTTTTGATCCATTCGGCTGCCACGGAGATGTCTCCCATTCCATCGAATGGTTTGCATCCCAACTCTCTCGCCTCTTTGAGGTATTTCGAGATTCTTATGATGGGAACCTCGGTACCTCTTCCTCCTCGGGACTCCTCATGTTCCCTAGAGCTAACACGGCTCCCTCTTCTCGAAGCCCCTCCCGAAGCACGCCTTGCCCGGCGCCTTTGGCGATCTTGTTGGTATTGCCGAAGCAATTCCTCAATCCGCTCGAGGGCGTCATTATCGTCGCTCCCCTCACTAATGTCATCATCTCCCCCCTCATATGGGGTTTCAACCGGCTCCGTTCCCGGTCGGTACGTTGAATCCTCCTCGGACTCATAATGCTCGTCAATTGTTTCAACATGACCGTCACTAACGGTCAGCGAGTGGCCTGCACGGCCCTGCTCTCGAGACACCCTTGATGCCCCTCGACTGCCATGTTGGGACCTTCCCGGCGCCTGGCCAGTCGGGTTTCGTCGGGTGACTTTACCGGTGCGTTCCATTTCTGAAAGAGATAGAGAATGAGTCATTAGACCCGTATCAAAAGTCAAGTGACGGATAGGCACTTAAAGACATCCTTTGGCTCAAATCACCGTCATACCAATTGTTAAGGGTACCATCTTAACAATTAGAGACTTTGCAACTCAAGTACCAAAAGTTCTATAAGTGCAAAACTTTTATGCTCATGGTTTTCAAAATCATTTTCAAAAGGGATTTTGAAGCTTCATTATGAAGTTTACGGACTAAGGCTCTGATACCAATTAAATTGTCACGCCCCGGACCTTCCCGGACACGTCAACAACCCGCCGTACAGTACGAATAGTCAACCGCAGTCCAACTCATCCATACTATACAAGGCGTCTTGAATACCATTCACATTAGTACATCCATAAACAATCACAATGTAAATCATTTAATTAAGCAGCGGAAATATTAATACAAGCATTCGAGCCACACGTGGCAAACACGGGCGTGCAAGCCCTAAATAATTATTCGGAAAATAGTATCCATGAGCATTAATTTGAATGTTTTAAAACAGAAACGGAGGAAGCACGAACCACGTCTCCTCTCCTTGATAATCCGCCCGAAGCAACGGTGATGGTAGCACCCTTCAAGTTCTACCTGAAACTGTGAGGTGGCCTCCCCCGTGAAGGGGAGGTCAGTACTTGGAAGCATTTGACAAGTACAATGACAACTATACTAAGTATAATCAAAGTTTCAATTTCCAAGACCCTCAATCTAGGATGTTATTATATTATAGGTCATAACCCGTGGTTACCCTCTTTTGAAAGTATACTTACTTTATATATATAGTCAAGTAATCGCCCGAAGGCCCATGTTTACTTTGGAAACATTTAACCCTTTCCCCGTGACTTCAAGCCACACCCATCTATATTAGTTTACCATGCTAGAGGCTTTCTCTAGTCATGTTTTGTCGTGCTAGAGGCTGACTCTAGTCACTCCACTTGGTGTTAGAGGCTTCCTCTAATCACCTTACATACGTTGTGCTGGAGGCTTCCTCCAGTCACATTACGTTACGCTAGAGGCTTCCTCTAGTCGTCCTACACGAATGCTGGAGGCTTCCTCCAGTCATTCTTCATCGTGCTCGAGGCTTCCTCTAGTCACGATACTAATTCACTAAGCAATCTCTATGCCTAGAGTTCCTCTACTATGAGTAACCTTCAAGATCCGCTCCTACGGTAACTTAGCGTTTACTCATTTCTACCTTAAGACATTTCATATGACTACTTAAGGTACATCTTTCACAATCCAAACCCCTAGGATTTGTTCTATCACTTTTCATGCTAACATCCCCGGCTAGTATTTCTATACTAGTCATTTAACCTTAATAAGCCAATGCAATTTCATAGTAATTTGGCTATTTCAATTTAATTCCACATTCAAGTATAACTTGGTTCTAATATCAAAATATCACTTTTATCCTTCCATGACTTCCTTACATGAGGTAAAAGTATATTTATCACAATTCATTTATAGTTTACACGCTATTATTCCATTGTATTCATAATACATAATCATACACAATTTAATCATAAATTTGTATATTATGCACTTTTACTTATAAACAATAATAATCTCATTTAGGCATTTTTTTTATATTATAAATAAATCATGCCAAACACATATAATTCATTTAGGTAATCTTATGAAATTAACCCAATAATTATAAGCAATATAGTCGGTCATCCTCACCTTAAGTGAGCTTAAGCGTGTTCTACGCTCCGCGGTTGAACTTTGACTATTTCCGGTGAACTTTGACCAACTCCGGCCAACTTTGACCAACTCCGGCGAAACTCCGGCGAAGCTCCAAAGTACTTTAATCAAGTTCCTAACAAGTTTTTAACATCATAAAACCTTAATCAATACGAATAACCTCTAAAAGGTTATTTTCCGGTGAACTTGTCGGTTTGGCTCCTAGGTCCGTTTTTGGACTTAGAACCCCCTTCCAACCCATCATTCTACACTAACTCATGTGGAACAATCCTCAATGTTCTTCACATGATATATATCTCAAATGATAGAAGAAAAATAAAGGAAAAGTTAATATAAGGTCATTACCTTAATCTTTCTCACTTTTCCTAGCTTTTTCTCTCTTAAATCTTCCCTCTTGGACCTCTATTGTTTGAGCTCTCTTCAAGGATGGGGAGAGGAGGATGGAGATCTTTTCTTCCCTTGCTGGGGTTGGTGCTGGCCGAGAATAGGGGAGAGAGGGGTTGGGGTTGGCTTTTTGTCTCAATAGGCAATTATGTGTGGGTTGAGAGACCCACCTTTGTCCTTTAGATGCCTCTCAAGTCAACCCAACTTCTACCCATCTTCCTCCTCTCCATTCAGCAGCCCCATGCCTCAATTTGTGTGGCTAAATTCGTGGGTTGGCCCCCACCCATGTGGGAGGTCAACCCCTTTTGTCCAGAAGTGTACACTTTGTCCCGAAAGTTGTATTTTTCGGACAGTTTTAAATATATCTTATTTTATCGGGTCAAATAAGATATATTACATGTTCCCAATCATTATGACCCTTAAAATGAATATACATTTCCCAACTTAAATTTATAGGTCTCCGAAATCCAATTTCGGGCTTTTGTCGGTTAGATTGCCAATACCGGTATTTGGGCCTCTTTTGACCAATCGGTCAACTCAAGACCTTTCCATGGTTCAAAAGAATTATCCACCCCCATATAAATATTATCTAGACCAAGATGAATAATTTACGTGGTCCCGGGAATATCGGGCGGCCCCCGCTCCTGGTGCGGGCCCCACGCGCGAACTTACTATTCACGCAAAAATTAATAAAAATTCATAACCTCGTAAATCCGTCAACCATTCCATAAGGTTTAAAATACAATATTCACTTTAAAAGTAAATACATTTGGGGACGGTGTTACAAAGCAGATATTTGAAAAGGCCTTGCTTAATATATCTGCCTTAACCTTATCTTAATGTATGACTGTATGTCAAATGACATTCTATGTATGTTTAATTGTTTATTTTAAACAATGGTAAGTTTTTTAAGATGTTACCAGATTGAACTTTGAACTTTTGCCTAAGAACAGATTCATCACAGGCAAGACCCTAGAAAACTCAGCCCACAGAATCTCAGAAATTAGTCATCACACCCTTTTTTTCATCACAGATAGTGCACTGCTTAACTCAGGCTAAATATGCATCACAAGGTTCACAAATTACACATATAAATCAGTTCCATTCATCACAGATGGGACATCATTTAACTCAGCCTTAATAAGCATCTACACCATTAAACATGTTTATGTAGGATGTTTTTACTTGGACTGTAATTTGTCCCAGACCAGACTAGACCAGACCAGACCAGTTCAGACCAGACCAGACCAGACTTGGATAGTTATAAAAATACAAAGAAACCAGACCTTACCAGACCAGACCAGTTCAGACCAGACCAGACCATATCAGACCAGACCAGACCAGCAAATTACAGTCCAAGTAAAAACATCCGTAATCAACAACTTTCATTCATCAATGGCGGGAGTAAAGTAATATCACGCCGAATCAACAGAACAACTCACAATTTTAACTTATGCCTCAGAACAGACTCATCACAGGCAAGACATGAGAAAAATAATGTCACACAACCTCAGAAATTAGTCATGACAAGGTTTTTCATCACAGACAGTGCACTGATTTAATTAGGATAAAGTCGATCCCAACACGCTTCAAATGTGTGTTGAAATACAAACTTATCATATCGACACTGAATTTGATGGATACTGTTTAATTTTGGTATATGTATATAAGTCATATACTCCCTCAGTCCCAAATTGTAAGATACATTTACTATTCACTTGGTCAACATAAATCGTTGTTAATCTTTTATTTTATAAATCAAAAGTTTATGAAATTTAAAAATTTTTGCAGGCTTTGTAGCAGTTTTAATGTAGTTTCTGAATATGTGAATTTTATTTTTTTAGAACTAATTTGAGTGTTGACTGGAATCAATTTGCTTTATCGTCTCTCAAACATTGTAAACTGTAATGTATCTTACAAACTGGGACAGAGGGAGTAACTAATACTCCAACTATCAGTTGAATAAAGAAATTGCCTCTAATTATTAGATTCAAGCGCATACTCACATATGATGATTCAAATAATTGCTCTTCTTAGCTCAATTCATTTGAAGTAGCCCAATTTTGTAATTAAGTCTCTCGGCATGTAAAATTTTATTGGTACAAAACTTTAATTTATACTCCCTCCGTCCCGGTCCCCCGGATAGAACTTGACGTTTGCTTTTAGCACAGTATTTTAGGAGCTCAACTAATAGAAGAACAAATGTCTTTCATGCTCTTTGACTTTTGCGGGGAATTAATGTTATCCACTCAAATATAAAAAGTGGGAGAGTAGTGAAGGGGAGTTAGGACATTTAACGTAAAAGGAGTTGCCTAAAAGGAAATGTAAAAGAGTTAATGAGACGTCTTATAAAGGAAAGTGTAAAGATTTAAATGGGACAGAGTGAGTATTAAATTGTAGTTCAATTACTTGTCTAATAACGAATGTTGAAGTTTTTTTGACAGAACGAATGTTAAAGTTAGACTTGCTATTTCATTTATTATTTATCATCATCAATATTTGCGCAATTTAATATAAAAGAAATGGAATTTAATAATCCCACTTGTCATTGGTTTTTCAGAATAGTCCCACACCTTACTTTAATCTGAAAATATTTATCACATTTGCACGAACAAATATAGTTCACTAAACGTTCAAGGAATAGAAAAATGAGGTGATAAGGAAATAAAAAGAAACACATGCATATATCCCTCTTTTCGCTTGAAGCATACTGCATACGGATGATCAAACTCTAGCAGCCGCGCAGCGGATCTTCATGATCTTGCTCAACGCAACAATAGCACAGCAAGACTCTAATCATATGCAACGGTAATTGAAGTTTGTTCATCGCTTGAGTTTTTTTTCCGACTAATTTTCTACTCACTTTTATTTCGTCCGGCTCAATTTTCTCTGGCGAGAGTTTGGTCTGTTCCAATTGTGAACGAGTTTATGCTTCTGTTCGTGAATTCTAGTGCTTCTTTTTCTCCGTCTCGGAGTCGAAACTCATTCTTTTGGCCACTAATGGAGAGCTTAAATCAGATTTATGAAAGGATGTCAATGAAAGAATTTGATTGCAGGGGATGAAAAAACGACAAGGTGGCGGTGCTCCCAGAACATCACCACCTACAATACGGACAGGTCCTGTAAATGAGATGATTCCTTTGGAGGTAGCTGATCAAACCTCTTCTCCCTTCCCGATGGCTAGTAAAATCGGGATGCTTCCTTTGGAGGTGGATCGACAAACCTCTTGCCCCTTCCTGGTGGCTGGTAAAACGGGGGCGCTTGATTTATTTTGTTATTTTTATTTAAAGAATTCTTGTTTAGCGATCTTCCATTTTGGTAGCAAGTTCAGCAATGCTATTAAATTAGGCTACCGTGATGCGGGGTTATCGAATTTGACAGGTCCTCGGAGGCTAGTCAATTCTATGTCTCACCCCAGTGTAACCTTGAGCTATTGTATATCTTTGTCTCTTGTTACTCTCTTTATTAATAATAATTAAGTCTTCTTCTTTAAAAAAAAATCAGGAAAGAAGAAGAACCAATATCATTTAATGTAGAGAAAAGTGGAAGAATAACAGGAAAAAGCCTATAACGAGTAAGGCTCGGGAAAATATCGAAATTTCGGTACACTGCATTTACCGTATCAAAAAGTACTGGATTTACCAAAAACTTAGGTGTACCGAAATTTTCGATATGGTACTGTACCGAATTACTACGGTATAATATCGGTATATGTTTTGAAAATAAAAAGTATACTAGGCTGAGGTGGCGGGTGGTAAGAATTGGGTTGCGCTGTCGAAGGTAGGGCTAGGAAGGGGTGGGTTGGGGTTGGGCTGTTCGCAACCGGAGTTGGGGGAGTGGGCCGGCGGTGTGGCAGGGGGCGAGGCCGTGTAGCGGGGGAGGGGGGATAGAGAACCAGTGCGTAGATCTAGGTGTAGGTCAAGGGAGGTGGTTGGTTTTTCGGGGCATCGGTGGTCGGAGGTTGTGATGGTTGGGGGCTGGTGAACTGCGGCATTAGCGACTTGGGCTCTTGGGCTGGGCAGCGGTAGTGTTGTAGGTGGTCGCGTGGGGGGGGGGACAAGGAGCCGACAGATGGCGGAAATGGCGACTAGACGGTGGTGGCCGCAGGAGATGTGCAAGGGTGATGTGTCTGGTTGGTCACTATAGGGGGTGACGGGTCATTAACGGTGGTGGTCGGGGGTGGCGCTGCTGCTCGTGTGCAGTTGCGCTTGCGACGACAGTCATTAGCAGGAAGCGGCGGCAGTCACTGACGGGGGCGGCGAAAGTCACTAATGAGGGGTCGCGGCAGTCACTGATGAGGGGTGACGACACTCACTGGTCGGAGCGGAGGCGGTCACTAGACGGGGCAACGGTGGAGTCACTCTGGTGGTCTGTCACAGGTGGGGCGGAGCCACTGTGGGAGTAGAGCTATGGTGGCCAGCATCACTTTAAACTGCAGAGTTTATTTGTGTTGTTGGTCACATTCTTTAGAAATTTTAAAAAGAGGTCATATTTTTGTCTATATCCTATTTTTAGTAATATCTGGACCAAATATCATTTATCTGTTGGGAATATTTCTTTTATTTCCAATGTCAACCAATAAGATCTTGGAAAAATTGAAAATAATAATCTCAACTATTGCCGGTCCGCTGAAATAATCCCAACTATTGATTATTTTTTTATAATCCCAACTATATAGACTATCCGCCAATAATGGTCCATGACCATATATTACCTCTATAAAAAGTGAATTTGAAATAGAAATTAAGCGTAAAAATTAAAAGTTGAGATTATTTAGAGGGATTACTTGTTATATCTCACTCCATCCACTTTAGAAACTACAAGAATTTATTCATAGGGACCATTATTGGCAGAAGGTCCCTAAAGTTGGGATTATTCTATAATAATCAATAGTTGGGATTATTATGAGCGGACCGCAAATAGTTGAGATTATTACTATCAATTTTTCCTAAGATCTTTTAATTGCGAAAGGTTCCAATAATTTTTGTAGCTGGTCACTAATCACTATCTATCTCTCTATTTGTAGCGGATTATATTACAGTTTTAGAGATTTCCAGGCCGTTGTTCATAGCGGGTCATCGGTTTGCAGTTGCCCCATCTAGTCCGGTCCAAGTCTAGATAGGCTTATTTCAAACGTATAATGTCAAAGTCGTGCTTTCACAAGTTTATGGTCAAGAGTTAATTACCCTAGGTATAACTAACACTCAATAAGTTTCTCAATCTATGACCTAAATAGTTTTTTTCTCAAAATAATATTACAATTCTCTGTTTTTAATTAAAATTTGTAATTTTTTTTGTGAATTAAAAATGATTTGTAATTAATACTCCGTAATTAATAATTAATTTTTAGGGAAAAATATACCCTTTTGGTTATACCTATAAAACCCTAACCTCCTACCCATTTTCTACAACCCTAGCTATAACCTCCCAACACCCCACCATCCTTCAGCTACCCCACCATCTAGCCGCCGCCAGCCGCTGCCGCACATCGTCCAGCCTCCGCCATCTGCCCAGCGCCGCTGCGTTCCACATAACTCCGACGTAGCTTGATGGTCCAGTTCTCCGCCCGACCAGGGTCCGAAGGTGTTGTCGTCTAGCCGCCGCTCCTCACCGTCGTCCAGCCGCCACTCCTCCTCCTCGTCCCAGATTTGTGCACCGCCGTCCCAGATCTGTGCGTCGCCGTCCAAGACTTTTGTGCCCCTTCCCCACCTATGTGCCGCTGTCCCAGGCCGTCCGCACCGCCTCCCATCCATTTGCGCCCCAACCTTCATCCCGTCACAATTTTTTTTGAATTCTTGATCCAATACCTGCTTTGTAGTTTCATTCCCCCAGCGAGCTGTCCAACCCTTTTGGTAGTCAACTTAGCAGTACAATATTGACCTGTAGATCAGATTTGCTATTGCGGCATATATTTTTTGAGACTAGGTTTTATATTGAATTTAGGTTTTTTGAGCATTAAATATGGGCATTGAATACCATCAATGAACATTTCAATAAGTGCTGAGTATGGACAGTGAAAATGTATGGTAACAGGCATATTGTACATGGCAGTGAATGAATGCATTGAGAAATTTTGTTGTGCATTGATTATGACTGGTATTGCAGTAACACAGAGCAGTGAATTCATCACGAAATACAATATACTTAATTAGAACTAAAATAATAAAATTATTAAATCTAGAAAAAAAATCCTCAAGTGAATGAGAAGAGAATTAATTTTGGAGAAAGTGCAATGATTATAATCGGATGTGCAGTGAAGACGTGCATTAATTTTGGGCAATAATGGCAATATTAAGTGCAGTAATTTTAATTGGACGCAATTAGTGCAAAATGCACATATTTTAAATAAGGATATTTTCGTCATTCAACATTTAAATATAAACGAATTTTCTATTTGTTTTTGGATTTTTGGTCATATAAAAGTATAAAAACTAGTTAGGTCATAGATTGAAAAACTTAGGGGTGGGCGTGGTCCGGAACAGTCCGGTAAATTAGTAAAACCCGTAATGTATCTGTGAGGTTTTTAACGGTTCGGTACGGTCCGGTTTCAAGGATGGAACCGTTCGATACCATGTCATTTCGGAACGGTACAAAATGGTACAGTACAATGTCAAACACATGCTAAAAAATTTGAACAAATCTTGCAATTAGTAGATATCATCCCACTGACCAACTCACATGAAATGTTGATATAAATACAAGAAACTTCATATATAGGACTAAAATTCACAAATAAACAAATAGTGCAACACAACTAAGAAAGACTATAGCAAAACGATGACGCATGAGATAAATATCATCCTTAATTTACTTAGTTCATGTGAAAATATAAAAAAGAATATCATGAAATTGTTGCATATAATAGAAATAATCAACATTCTTCTTCATTCTAGGTTAAATATTACTCCGTAGTTCTAATTTAATTTATAGTTGAACCTTGAGAGTTAAGATTTAAACCATATTAATTAAGTTGTAAAATTGCACAACACGATACAACAAAAAGTCATGTACTCTAACATTATTAGAAATGAGTTATTAATGATTTCTTTAAAATTTTAATATTCTTTCAATACATAGCAAAATATAACATAAATTATCTAAAAAGAAAAATAACAATATATATAAACACAGATATTTAGCTATTTTAAGGATGCATAAATACATACTTGGCTATAAATTTGTTGGTCTATAAAAGAGATCTATTGAATTGGTATACAAAAAAATATAAAAAATTCAAGTGCATTATTTTCAAACGGTTCGGTCCGGTATTTTTCGGTTCTCAAAATCTAGGACTGGTCTCGTACCCGTTTCAAACGGTACGGTTTCAGTACGGGACAAAAATATATAGAACCGTTTAAATACCGGTATTCAGTTCGGTACCATTACGGGACGGTTCGGTACCGGTTCGATTCGGGTTTTATGCCCACCCCTAGAAAAAGTCATTGAGTTTTAGTGGTAAATTTCCCTATGGTCAAACAATCGAGTCGTACGATGACTAGGATGAGGGATGGACGTGCTTTAAATACAAACTCTATCCACCCAAAACCGGGTGCTTCCCGCCGCTTGATTGATTCAAAACCGTCGTGCGCCCGTCCAAAGTTCCGACCCCCGATTTCTCCTTCATCTTTTGCTCCTTCTTCATAAACACCATATCCTTTTTCAGTTTTTCCTAATTACGAAAAAGAAACTCATTTTTACACAACAAAATCCCGCCGGCAAAAACGAAAGCAAAAATGTGCAGAGGCTTTCATCCGAACCGGCAAGACTGCATAAAGATGCAAGCTTTCTACATCCACATGTCCGTTTTCCCCACAACCCGAAACTCCTTGCCCGAATTCCTGACGCTGAATTACCTCCCGCGCATAGACGACAGCCCACTGGAGATAAACGGGTCCAGGATCCGATCCGACGCGCCCGGGTTCGTGGCGCTCCACCGGGTCGTCTCTGCCGCCGCGGCCGTGACTGGGGCGGTTTACGGGAGCCGGGAGAGAGTCAGAGCCAGCGAAGGGGCGAGGTTCGAGCTATACGTGGGAGATTCCAGACTGATGAAGGGGACTTTCAGGAAAGACTGGGAAGGGGATTTCTGGAAATTGGAGTGGGAGTGCTTGTTGCCGGAGGAAGAGGAAAATAACCGTCGTCTGGGAATCAAAGCGGCGGAGGTCTGTATATCGGTGGAAGGAGGCGCGGCGGAGTGGATCACGGGGAAGGTGGAAATGGCGCATCCCCGGAGGCGGCACCGGCGGAGGTGTCATCTGGGGCTGGAAGAAATTCCTGAGCGAAGAGAAACAGAAACAGAGGTTGAGGGAAGTCGGGATTGTTGCTGCTGCTGTGGGGAAGGGGAGGAGATGGAGGGGGAGGACGGCGGAGAGTGCGACGCGGCGGCGGAGGGAGTGGGATGGGCGGTGGATGTGGGGATATGGATGGTTTGTTTAGGTGTGGGGTATTTGGTTAGCAGAGCTTCTCGAAAGAGTTTAATGAGAAAGCTGATGCCTTCATAAGTTCATTAATAAGAAATCTGATTAATTATTAATTATTAATCAGATTGAGTGATAGAGTGTAATATAGTTACAAAGAAGTTAGTAGTTGTGAATACGTATGAGCTGAGACCTTAGTAGTTGTGATTTTGTGAATTTGATACTTCAAAGCTCTAAACAAATTCTTTTGAATCATAATAAAAGCGGTATAATCTTGGTTAATTTTTTTTGGTAGGCGGAGCTTATTTTGTAACTCTATTTCAGTTTGAGTCTTCTCACACAACTTAATTTATTAGATACATAATTTTTTTTTAAATCACAAACTGAATTATGTAACAACAGAAACAAATCATTAAAATCATTAAAACTAAAAAGATGTACATTCTAGAGTAATAGGGAGAACTAGCAACTAGGAAAATCAAACATATAACTAGTAGCTATGTAGCACCGATACGGGTAAGCGGAAACGCGGAAACATAGAAACTGGTACAGGGATACGACAAAACTAAAAAAGGTATGATATCGATACGGGGCCATATTTATAAATATTACTCCCTCCGTCCCGCTAGACTGGCGATAAAACAACTTAATCCCTCAGAGTGTGAACAGGGATTAAGTTGACGGTATGAGATGCTTGACTGGCGATAAAGCAACTTAATCCCTGTTCACACTCTGATTATTTTTAGTAAATAAAATTTACATATTCGGAAGCTATATTAAAACCGCTACAAAGCCTAATAAAAAAAATGTAAATTTGATAAAAATTTGATTTATAAAGTAAAAGATTAAAGACGATTTAAGTTGACTATGTGAATAGTAGACGAGAACCTTCTAATGGGACGGAGGTAGTAAAAGTTATGGAGGTGTATTTATAAATATTAAAAGTTACAGCGGTGTATTTATAAATATTAAGAATACGGTTTTTTTAAAATTATTATCCTACGTCTACTCATTCATGGCATTAAAGCATTTTACACTTTCAAGATATTTAGAAATAAGTTCATATTTTATCTCATATACTCTAGTGCACCTCGAAATATAAATACAGTCAATGAGTCATTAATTTACAAATGAGAAATAAGTCAAATAACTACAATTTTGAAATTAAAAGTGCAAGTATTCAGAGTTTTAGAAATAATGAAGATAGAAAACAATATTTAAAAGTTATACTCCGTAATACATATTTCCGTTGGAACTATTAATTTCTAGGTATAATTAGAATTAAGGATTGGAGGATGGGTGAATTGGAAATAGACACATCAGTTGTTTACCACATAAAAGCAAGGTAAAAATTATTTTAACTTTTCATTTTTTAAGAATTTTATTATGTAAATTTTAAGTGTTTTTAAATAGTTTTTTTTGGAAGCTTTTTTTTTTTTATAGAAAAAACGTTGATACAGGTATCCGTCAGGATACGAGTATCCAAAATTTTAAAATAATTACCAAAAATAATGAAAACTTTAAAAAATTGCAGATATGACCCGGGAACGTATCACGTATGGTATGCGTATCCTAGAGTATCAAATACGGGAAAGTTTCCGATACGTCGATACGGCACCCTAATGAAGTATTCGTGCTTCATAGACTACTAGTACATACGAGTATTAACTGGAGATCACACAAAAAATTGAATGCCTGTGCCAAGCACTTATTATACTACCTTCTAAATATTCCTTTTTAAAACCAATTTCTGTACACTAGAGGTTTTAAATTACCAAATATGTAGTATTCACATCGAGTATTAGAACTTCTCCAACAATCACCAATTCCTACACCAAAATGGTGGATTTGCCAATTTTTTGCTCCAACAGCTACACCATCCATTTCGCCATTTCACCAATTCGGGGGAGGGGGTTTGGCTGTACGCCATATATGTCATACACCATGCATCCCTTGCGCCATCTTTTTTATTTTTATTTTATTTCAAATGTGACCCAAAGTTTTGATTGTTATAGTTTTGACACATTTTTAGAACAACAAATTATAGAAGAACAAATTTAAATTATTAATTTGGTAAAAACTAAAATATATATAATAAATAAATTCACACAATATTATAAATAAAGTTTCAAATTGAAACAACATAATAACATAATATAAATCATACTAAGAAAATAACATAATTAAAATTACAATTAATAACACCATTAATATTAAATGAGGGGCTGATATATAAATATATGATAGTTAGATAATTAAATTTAATAATGGTAAAAAGTTAGTAAAAAGAATAAAAATGGAATATTCCTTTTTAGTGATGAAAATGGTGTAAACTGTTGGAGATACAATACTGTATGATGTGATGTTTACACCATTTTAGTGCAAAAAAAGTGTAAACTGTTGGAGATGGCCTTAGAGTGGTGGCCTGGTGCAGTATTAGATTAAATTGAGGAAAGGGGCAAATAAGCCCACATTCTGACTAAAACATGTCAAATAAGCCCTTATTTGTCCGGCCATCGCTATTTGGGGAGGTTCCCAGTAGATTTTTTTGAAGAACTTTTTTGAGCATCTTATTCATTAAGTCTAGTTTACGCATACTAAATTTCAGCTAACAATTCAATCAGGAAGGCATTCAAATGAATTCTTGAAGATAACTGCACTTTTAACTGCGCAGTTATCTTCAAGAATTCATTTCAATGCCTTCCTGATTGAAGTTTTAACTAAAATTTGGTATGAGTAAACTAGACTTAATGAATATGATGCTAAAAAATTTTAATCAAAAAATTCCACTGGGAATCGCCCCAAATAGCGACGACCGGACAGGTCCTCCTATATAAGGGTTTATTTGACTTTTTTTTAATACGTGGATTTATTTGCCCTTTTTGTCGATTAAATTTAGAGGTTTTGTTTAAATTATAGTCTTATTAAATTACCAAACATTTTAGTCTTGTTACTAAAATATAGACAAATGGTAGAAAATTAATTTTAAAAATGTAACTAACGAATTGATGTAGTGACTACCAACCACTCGACCAATCACCACAGCCCATCACAATGACCTTACTTGCCAATGAACGCGCCATGGGCCCTTGACGGCTATGAAACTATGACGCACTTTATCTTGTTTCATGTTTCAAATTGGATAATGTGCTTATGTGCTCCATACAAAAGTTATTAACTTATGTAATGTTGAATTAGTCTATAGGAGTGTTTGGGATTGCTTAAAAAAAGCGCTTTTCAGCTTTTGGCTTAAAAAAAGCTGAAAAGAGTGTTTTCAAATGACAGCTTCTGCTTAAATTAATCACTTAAAAGCTAAAAGCTGGAAGGAGGTAGAATGGTGCTTTAAACTGCTTCTCACTTTTCTATTACACAAAAAGTACTTATTTTACCAAACGCTACCAACTTTTACTTTTTCAGAATCACTTTTTTCTCAAACACTACCAACTTTTACTATTAATCACTTTTCCCAAAATCACTTTAAAAAATCACTTTTTTAAAGTTAAAGCAATTGCAAACCCTCCCTATATCTCACCAATTTTGATACATGATAATTGTTCTTTGCCTATATAAGGTCTCCTCTTGGATATTTTTAGTGATTAAAATATGTGACGAAAAATTGGACAAGACCACAAATGGTTAGAAAACTTTAGTAAAGTACTAAAAACGGACAAAGTGAAACACATAGAACTATGAAATTGACATATGTAATGCTGAACCGCCAGTCGGCCACTATTGAATTTCAAAATGGAATAATAGTTCTTTGTGATAAAACGAAATGATACTGCAAAGTTTAAAGGCAAGTAATTAAAATTTAAAAATATTTCATTGCAGAATGATTCACAACGAAACAAAGAATGTTTCATAATATTATGCTCCGTCACATATAAACATAAATTTAAGTCAAATAGATTAATAGATATATGAAATCTAAAAATATATCAGAAATCAGTATTTCGAAATAAACTAAATAAAGTAATACTCCGTATTTAATAAATTGTTTCCTGTAATTGGCCGCAGTTTATTACTGATTAGACCCGCAATGTATTATTCTTTTCTTCTACATTCGCTCAATGAGAAAACGTATACTCCGTATATTATTATTATTACTCGTATATTAGTTCAGTTTTACTCCGTATAATTCATTGGCTTATCTGTGTAGGTCAAAAGTTTCTTGTTACCTTTTAGAAGTATATATGTTCGAAATTTACAATTTTAAAAGAAAATTGAGGGGTATAATTTTTTTGGATACATGTAAATCAGGGGCAGTTTTTTATTTTTATTACGGTCTTTCACTTTTTTGATTCCTTATCACTGATACAATTTTCCTGATAAATTAAAATGAAGGGAAGGAGTATATAAATACGAGCATTCAAAATTCCATAGGACACTAAACTTAGCTGAATCTAATACCACTCCTAGCTTGTTCTCACAAACAAATGGCGAAATGCGGGGGTTCGGAAGCGCAGGCGAACCTGACGGCGAATCTAATGCGTGTGGCCAGCACCGCCTTCAGCTTGGCGGTGATGTTCGCCGGACTCCGCTATCTAGACCCAAATCGCCAAGCGTCCAAGCAAGCTAAGGACTTCCGGAAACGGCTCTCCAAACGAACGGGTCGCAATCTCATCCACACCACTCCATTCGAGGCATAATAATATTCCACTTCTCGTTTTCTATTCTCCATTTTATACATTGCTTCTTAGCTGACTAAATTTACTATTAACAACCCGCTAAAAATGAAGGTTTGGAAAATAACGTTTCAGCTAAAAATGAAGGTTTGACCATTTTTAACGTTTTCAATAAGTGAAAAAAGTTGTTTGCTAAATAGACGTTTCACCCTAGCGTTTTTTGACAGAATCGCTGAAATGAAAATGCTGCACATAGTAGAGTTTTGGGTTAGCGTTTTGAAATATGGCGCTTTCTACTAATCGTTATGGTCAAACAACTAAATAACCAAACATATCTTGCAACCCGCCAAATTATTCCGCTAGTCAAATGCTGACTAAATCCACTATTAACAACCCGCTAACATAACCCGCTATCCACTAAATGCCAAACACACCCTATATTACGTTTTTTGAAGTTCTTTGATAGATTGCACAAAGTCAAATGTTGAAAAGGAATTAAAGGAATTAGTGGAGTTCAATGTGATACATCTGGAACATTTAAAGGTTCAAACTGATAGATTGGAAAGTTTTTTTTTTATTTGTTATACAGGATATGGTTGCTTGTGATGTGGTGAATCCGGAGTGCATTGATGTTAAATTTGATTCGATTGGAGGATTAGATGGAATTAAGGAAGCTTTGTTTGAACTGGCAATTTTACCTTTGAAGAGGCCAGAGTTGTTTGCTCATGGAAAACTGCTTCGTCCCGCGAGAGGAGTGCTACTCTACGGACCACCTGGGACTGGGAAGACAATGCTTGCAAAAGCCATTGCCAAAGAATCTGAAGCTGTGTTTATCAATGTAAAGGTTTCAAATCTGATGAGCAAGTGGTTTGGTGATGCTCCAAAGCTTGGTGAGCCTCTCTTCACTCTTCTCCCTTGTCTGTATCCAAAACCCTGAGTTGTTCTATCTTTCAAGAAATGATCTCTGTTAGTAGAAAACTAGTGTGGTCTTTCTGCATTGCCTGTATTGGTAAGAAAGTATGCAATTTCATATCTAAACAATCCTATGGGTGTGATGCAAAACACTGTTACACATATCTAAACAATCCTATGGGTGTGTTTGGATATATGTTGCTTCACTTTCTTGTAACTTTCAATATGAAAGGAGATTTATTCACTATTCATCCCAAGCTTCACAACTGCACTTGGGGCATCTCTAGATCTTACAAAATGCTGCCGAAGTAATAAAAAACTGCTGAGAAAAATTATTGTATTTCATATGCTATGATTTCTCTTGGAAAATGCAAAGGAAACTGTAAAAATAGTACTTTTAAAACTTGCTGACATATATTTAGAATTTCTTAGTCCTTTATATAATAGAAATAAATAAATATTATCAGTTCTAGCAATTAACTAAAAACAAATTTATCTGAGTTTTGGACTTTTGGCCAATCTTTTATTTTCTTCAAAAAATATCTTGTTTCAGTTTTCATACTCTCTTTGTCCCATATTAATCTTCAAACTTTCCTTTTTCATTCATCCCAAAATAATCTTCACTGTCATTTTATTGCAAGGAATTCGTGGTTCATATCATTTTTTCCTCTACATAACTCTCCATCACAAAATTTACACTTTAAAATCACATGCAAACAATGTTTGGAAGATCTTATATTGGGACAAAAGGACTATCTTTTTTCATCCTTGTTTTATTTGCCTTGTCTTTCCCAAGTTAGAAACAGGCACCTTAAGAAGAGAAAAAATAAGGATGAATTTGGAAGGTACAAAAAAGGCAGCGAAGTGGGTTGATTTGTTTTGTTCTTTTAGGTTTTTTGTGTCAGTGTGAACATTGTGTTCATTTCATGTTGACAAACACTTTTACATGGTAGTGATTAGTGTTAAATGATTTCACCTAATATGTTTTGCAGTGGCAGCCGTTTTCAGTTTGGCTAATAAACTTCAGCCAGCTATAATATTCATTGATGAGGTTGACAGTTTGTTAGGGCAAAGATCTGGAACAGAAAATGAATCACTTACCATCATGAAGACTGAATTCTTGAGTTTGTGGGATGGTTTCACAACTGATCGTGAGTATCAATTATCAAGCAACAATGCACATAAGATGCATAAAGAATCATAGCTCATCCTAGTCATCCATACTTTATATTATGCTGGATTTCTATATTATTTTCCTCCCAGTGATTATAAAATCTAACACCTCCTTATTCCTTGGTCTTTGATGTAATTACAATGTGATTCTTATATTTTTGAAGAGTGTGCTCGAGTTATGGTTCTAGCAGCAACCAATCGCCCTTCGGACCTTGATGAAGCAGTACTGAGGCGTTTCTCTAGAGCTTTTGAGGTTGGAAAGCCTAATGAGGCAGATAGAGCAAAGATTTTGCAAGTAATTCTGAGGGATGAAACAGTGGAGGATAACATTGACGTCAACCACATTGCTCAGCTTTGTGAGGGGTGCACTGGATCTGATATTCTTGAGACATGTAAGCAAGCGGCCTTCTTTCCTGTGCGGGATTTCTTGAAAGATGAAAAGAATGGAAGCAAATCACAAGTCAGTATATCGTTTCCTTGTTTGTTATTTAGACAGAAATAATGACAAATATACGACCAAAATATGACTATCAACAAAAATATGACTTTTAATACGCAATGGTTGTAGTGGTATTTTGGCAATGGCTGTAGTAAACTAGTAACTTCATGGTTATATTTTTTAAGTGACACGATGATCAATTATACGCTATAGTTACCATAGTTGTATTTCCACATTCACTGTCATGACCATATATTCGTACTTTTGTCCATCAATTTTATTTTATTAATATTATAGGAAAAACTCCAAATTCCATGTAGATGACCTTAGAACAAGTAGAAAGAAAGAAAGAATATGACTAACTTAAGTTTTACCTGAAACCAAGAATATGATTACCCATATTATAGTTCTATGACCTCTATGGCTCTATCACTCAAATATGTTAGCAACTGTGTGCACCCAACCTTTGGCTTATTCACTACTACTAACTACTTTGCAGGAACTGAGGCCATTGTCACAGTCTGACCTGGTGATAGCTTTCACTAAATCTGGACAAACAGGATAAATATGAGGTTATATATGCACTACAAAATAATGTAAATTTTACTTTCGAAAAAAGGGCATTAGTCGAAGTTTGTTTCTGTTTCCATATTTAAACTCACCACTGAAACATATATATTTGTTAATGGCAGGAGCTCTAGGGCAAATGACAATGGGGATGTACTTGTTCTGAACATCACAATTGGTCATTGCATGGAACATAAATTATACTCTGTATTTTCACTATGATGTGGTCACTGTAACTATCTTCTTTAACATAATCACACAAATGTAAAGTGAAATATTGACTATATTAATGAAGTGTACATGCTCTCCCTAGCTAACTATTCAATTGTTGATTAGATAATACCGCACAAAATAAATTTTGATAAATTTATTCTTAATTTAATTTGTACTTTGTTTCTTTCTAATAACAAATTTTGTTGATATGAGTATGCATCAACTCTAAAGCTTTTTTTCTAAATTCAAAACAATTTGTATATAAAAATATCAATGAGTTCATAAATCCGAAAATGGAGTTTTTTTAAGATCTCCAGGGTTTTGGATATATGGAATCTAAAAATGGGAAAGTTTTTTTTATTCAATCCAAAATGTATACTCAAAGAGCCTAAATCTGAGAAGTTGATTTTTTTAAATAAATTGATGATTTCGGATACATTAAATCCGAAAATGGAGTTTTTTAAAGATCTCCAGGGTTTTGGATATATGGAATCTAATAATGGAAAAGTTTTTTTATTCAATCCAAAATGTATACTCAAAGAGCCTAAATCTGAGAAGTTGATTTTTTTAAATAAATTGATGGTTTCGGATACATTGAATCCAAATGAAGCTGACAATTATTCGGAAAACCAAAGGAGTTAACCCACACCTTTTGGAAGGGTATGCACCATTCTTACACCAAAATGTCAAGGACCTATCTACTTGTTCAGAACATAGAGTGTCAAAATCCACCATTTTTTCTTACGAGAGCGTCTGACAGACCGCCGATCACAGTTGGTCATTGCTTGGTATATTCGTGATCTAGGGACATGTTTACTTCACGGGTTATTAAACGGTGCTTATTAAGACCCGTGTTAATAAGCGGCGCATAAAATAAACAATGTTGTAAGACCGCGTTTACTTCAAACGGTTTAAAACACCGTTTAACATTAAAATGTCCAAAATAACCTCATACATATATATACACACAAACATTCATAAACACAAGTATATAATATAATATGTGTACCCATACCCCTAACCCCGCCCTACCTTACCCCGACCCCACCTAGCCCTAACCACCCTACCTACCTGACCCCACCCTATGACTACCCTACCTACCATACCCCAACCCCATCCCCATCCCTACCCCACCTACCCTATCCCAACCCCACCCACCCATACCTTACCTACCCAACCCATCCCATACCCCACCTACCCAGCCCCACCCTACTCCTACCCTACCCCGACCTACCCCTACCCTGACCCCACCTCGACCCCCTACCCTACCCTACCTACCCTAGGTAGGGTAGGGTGGGGTCGGGTAGGTGGGGTAAGGGTAGGGTAGGGTCCGGTAGGGTCTGGTAGGTAGGGTAGGGGTAGGTTTGGGGCCGGGTAGGTAGGGTAGGGGTTGGGTGTGGGTAGGGGTGGGGTAGGTGGGATAAGGGTAGGGTGGGGTAGGTGGGATAAGGGTAGGGTGGGGTGGGGTAGGTAGGGTGTGGGTTTAGGGTCGGGTCGGGTACGGGGTAAGGGTGGGGTCGGGTAGGTGTGTGGGGTGGGGTTGGGTAGGTAGGGTAAGGGTAGGTTTGGGGTCGGGTAGGTAAGGTAGGGTGGGGTCGGGGTAGGGTAGGGTAAGGGTAAGGTGGGGTCGGGTAGGTAGGGTAGGGGGTCGGGGTAGGGGGGTCAGGTAGATAGGGTAGGGTCAGGTAGGTAGGGTAGGGGTAGGGTGGGATCGGGTGGGTAGGGTAGGTGTGGGGTAGCAGGGTAGTGGTAGGGTGGGGTCGGGGTAGGGGTAGGTTGGGTCGGGTAGGTGGGGTAAGAGTAGGGGGTGGGGTAGGGGTCGGGTAGGTGGTAAGGTGGGGTCGGGTAGTAGGTGGGGTAGGGGTAACAATAGGGTAAGGGCAAGGGGTAAATTCGGAAACTGAAAATTCTTAAAGTGCCGCTTAATTAATACATGGGGGGTGGTATGCTTAATAAGCAGCACTTTAAGCACCTCTTTCGGTTAGTAAGCGGCATTTTAAGCAGCGTGTGTGTTTACTTCACCTGTCTTACTAACCTAACTGTGACTTTAGCAGTGAAGTAAACACCTCCTAGATGTTCTCAAGGACTGTTGCAATTAAATAGCATGCTATTGATCTATTAAATTTTTAATTGAATCAAACAGAAGAATTGGTTGCACCTAAACTAATGACTAATTATTCATCTCTTTACCCACAAAACACCTTCAAGCAGACCCATAGATAAAATGAATAAACAGAACACACTCTTGTACCTCTAAGTGGTTAATCTTCACTCTTGAGCTGATTTGTCAACAGGATATGGACTCAAAATCCTCAACTTAAAGCACAAATCCAATCCAATAGCAGCAAAAAGAAAAACGAGCACATTCTCAGTGACATAAAGAGCATGAGAAAACAAGTTTACTGGATCGTCCAACTCTAAAGCTGATCCATCGCTTAAAGTTGCAAGGCCTGCATCACAATTGCAAGAGTATTTATTAGCATCAGCCAAACTCCTACCATCACATAACATTTTGGGTTCTGTTATTCCTTTATAAATGGCAGTGTCAGTTTCGTTTTTTTTTTCATTTTAGAAATGCAAATTACCCTTGACAAAACCAAATGCCGCAGATGTTCCAGATTTGAGCTGAAAATTGTCCAAGTCTCTTCTCACCGCGTAACGAAAGGTGACCCCAAACAATGCACAACTAACAAAAGTTATCGCTGAAGGTAGTATCAGTTCATGGATGGTGGTGATCCGGGCCAAGGAAATAGGAAGCCCAGCAATGGTGCCCACCACTGCTGAAATCAATGCAGCTTTCACTGACTCCATTCTCTCGTCATTTTTTGTCATTGCTTTGCTTACTACTCCTCTCATATCCTCTCCGGAATTAAGAGATTGTTCAGCCTCTTCGAGCATTGCTTTTGCTTCTGAAATGTCTCTCTGGCACTCTGCAATCTTCAAAATCAAAATATCTCAATAACCCTCTTTATTCCCTATCTTTCTATTAAACTAAGGTGAGGCCAAGCATTGCTTCTAGGCTGTTTACTTTCATGGTCTGAGACCTCATTTGAGTTATGCATTTTTATAAGGGAAATGTTTCGGGTTCATCATCAGGTCGACCCTAATAATATACTGAAATTTCGGGTTCCATAGGGTCAAACCCACACAAAAAGTATTGGTTTGTTATTTCACTCTAAGTAGACATGGGTTCAACAACTTTGTTCTATCTATTCAGACTTGAGCTCCAACTCAAAAGGGTAATCAGAGTAGCCCAAAACCTTCTATATTGGTTCTTTATTCTATACATTTTGCCGGCCTGGCCTGGAACAATTGAGCAGTAAACCAAAACCTTAACCTTTTAGTTTGTATAATTATACTATCTCTGGTGCCAGTTTAATTCCAAACATTAAAGTAAGCAAAAAAATATACATAAAGAATGAAAGGGAGAGAGCAGACCTCGGAAGCTGACTTTTCGAGCCGATTAACATAATCTCTGGTCACCGTGGCCTCAATTTCTAGCCTTTTAATCTCAGCCAACTCTTGCTTGGCAATTTCAACTCTCCGGGTCGCTTTTTCCAACTCTTGAAGCAAGACTCGGTTCTCTTCCCGCCCCAGAAGTTCCTCTACTTTGGCATCCATTACACTAGCTAAAGCGTCATTTAAAATGCGAGTGTTTCCATTCTCCGAACTACCGTCACCGCCGATACACCTGATGGTCGGAGGACGACATGTAGACGATTGGGAATGACGAGATGAGAAATTTAGTGGGTTCACGCAGATCTTATGAGTAATGAAGAAGAAAGTTTTGTGGTTTGAAGATGGAACCAGTGAAGGCTTCAAAGCGGCCGATACAGTGGTCATCTTCTTATCTTGTGACTGTGAGAGTGTCACGCAAATAAGTTTATGGCCTGTTTGGATTGAGTGTTGAGGAGTGTTAGTAATGGAAGTGTTAGTAAATGTTGATGCTAACACTTGTTTGGGAGAAAAAACCAGAGGTGTTAAGAAGTGTTAGTAATGGTTAAGAAGTGTTAATAATAACCTTCCCAACACCTCAATTGTCCATTTTTTTAACACCCCAATTTGGAGTGTTTTGAGGTGTTCGACAATTATTACCCTTCTCATTTATCCGAAAAACATAAAATGCTTCGACATTTCACTTTGAATGTCCTTCCCACGGGTCTGATGATTTGTTTTTTCATCTCTTCTCTTTACTCGTTTCTTTTGCCTCAAGGTAAAATTATTAACACTTCTATTATTAACACTTCATTCATTTGACTCTCCCAAACAAGGTAAAATTATGTCTAACACTTACACTTCTCTTCCCTTCCGAGCCCTTACTAACACTTACTAACACTTCCATTACTAACACTTCCAAACACTCCATCCAAACATTAGTGACTTTGTTTAGACGAGTTTTTTGTTAGGGGTGGCCATTCGTTTAAGGTCTAGTTTTTCTTAGTTTCGGTTTGATTTGGATTTATTTAGTTTTGGAGAATATGTACCAAATTAAAACCAATTTATGTTTCGGTTCGATTCATTTTAAAGTTCCGAAACTTATTATATTTATTATTTGATTTGATCAAGTTCTATATTGTGGGATTAGAAAATGAAAGTAATAGTCCAACTTATCTTCTTTTATTTATTATTCAAATAAAAAGTGAAAGGAAATAAATGATAGAAAAAAGAAATAATAAAATATATATTTTTTGATCGTAGAAATAATAAAATATTATAAATTAAAACTTCTAACATATATTTTTGATCACTACCAAAAGATTTACTTTTCACAAAAAATAAATTTATAGTTGGTTAGCATTTATAATATTACATAGAATATTCAAAGAAAACTAAATGAGTCAGTGATACAAATGTTCTAATATTCACATTTTTATTCAAATTAATCATGTAAAAATATAAATCCAATTTGCTATTGTTATCGCCAATTAGATATCTTTTCATACAGGTAGAGTACCAAACATAACAAATACAAATAGAGTATGTCGTATTGGCTAACTTTATCATAATAAAAGTATGAAATAGGTAAAAGTTAAAATGATATATGCTAAATTTGTATTTTTCATGTCTAAATTATTTATTTATATCCTAAAGATGAAGAATGACGAAAAATACAAAGTCGTTATATATATGTTACAAGTTGTTTGGTGCTCAGTTCAATTTACGGTTTTACGGTTTTAAACCAAATCAAACCAAATCATTCAGTTTGAGAATTTGGTACTAAACGGTTTACTTAAGTTAATCCAAATAAAACCAAACCATCAATTTTCGATTCGGTCAAACCCAACCATTTTGCCCAGTTTTAGTTTTTGTTATTGCGAGAGACACCTTTAGTCAAATACTTCAAAATTTGGCATATTTAGTCCCTCAAGTATAACAAATTGATATTTTTAGTCCTTTTACTATAATTTTGACATAATAAATAGAGGACCAAAAATGTCACCGTTATAACGGTTGAGGGATTACAATTGTTACTTTTGTGAAAGTCGGACGATTAAATATAGAAATTTCTAAGGTGAATATCAAAAGTGTACCTCTTTCACACAATATTTGAGGATTAAAAGGGAAAAAAAGTAGGGAAAACTGTCAATTTGGTCCTTGTACTTTCATGAAAAGTCAATTAGGTACTCGTACTTTAAAAAGATCAGTCAAGTCTCTGAACTTTGTAAAAACGTTCAATTGAGTCCATTTGCAGGTTTACTTGCCATGTCAACAGGTCACTCGCTGACGTGGCGCACATGTAGCAGCCCAATCAGCAATAATTTTGCTGGTGTGGCACACATTTGGAAGTCTAGTAAGTCATTTGTTGATGACGTGGCGCGCACGTGGACCGTCATGTGTGCGCCACATCAACGGGGATTTGATTGATTTTTTTAAATGTACGAAGACCTAATTAACTTTTTCATGAAAGTACGAAGACCAAATTGATAGTTTTCCCAAAAAGTAAGGTCGTGTATCAAAAGTGTCAATGAAATAATAGTGAAGAACTAATAGTAGGGGTGGGCATATCGGTTTCGATTTGATTTTTATCGGTTTCGATTCGATTCGGAACATGAAGAATTATTGTCAAATAAAAGTCATACTATGTTTTGGTTTGGTTCAATCCCGTATAATTCGATTTGGTTCAGTTTGGATTTGTTGTTTTTTAATACGTAGTAATATATGAATGTTTTATTGAATTTCTTTACTTCGGTTCGATTTTTATCAGTTTCCATTACGTTTGGTTTAATACAATTTGAAAGAAAAACTATCAAATTCAAATTAAATTGCATATGATCCGACTTTGATTCGATTTAGTTCGTTTTGGTACCATTCAATTAAATCAAACTCATATACCCACCCTCCATAAAAGTAATAAAAACTCTTTTTGAAACCGTAATGAGTTTAGTAACTACCACGTACTCCCTCGGTCTCAATTTGATGGTCTCATTTCTTTTGGGCACAAATTTTAATAAAGTGATTGTAAATGTAAAAGTTGTGGTTGTGATTTAAGTAGAAAAAAGTGAAATTATGTGGATCACATCTTTCTTTCCACAAAAGGAACCATAATCAAATTACATAACCATCATTTTGGGACATCCCAAAAAAGAAATACAGGTCCATCATCATTTTAGGACGGAGGGGTAATACTTTTCCCCAAAGATCCAAGACCCGCCGGTTCATGAGTGGATTCCACAACGATCCTCATACAGAGCATTTCCTAGCTGAGCTGTATCCAGTAGAATCAGCTTCTCCACCTGTACCACGTGCATTGTCATGCTTTGTAATTAGTTGGAAAGCTTTGCCCTCAAAGTTATGGGGGTTCCACTCCTTTTTGCTATTCCTAACCTATGGTAGAGAACCCAAATCAATCATTTATGGAAAATGCTAGAGGTACACAAGTTGTACACAACTTGTATACACAATGTCGGTCACATACAAGTGGTACGGAATTGTCTGTGACCACAGACACGAGTTGTCTGTGTACGCAGACAAATTTTGTCTGTTTCCACAGATATTTACTTTTTTGTAAAAAGTACTTGTCAGTGTCAGACGGATCTCAGTATACTTTTTACAAAAAAGTAAATGTTTGTGGAAACAGACAAAATTTGTATGTGTACACAAACAACTCTTGTCTATGGTCACAGACAACTCCGTATCAATTGTCTGTGACCGACATTGTGTGTACAAGTTGTGTACAACTTGTGTACCCTAACATTTTCCATCATTTATTCTTCTGAAACACTAATCCGCGTTAGGTGCTGCCCATACGGTTTTTGTTTTAGATCTGGGTACCAGAAGAAATTAAAAATGGCTCATAAAAAAGAGATGGCCTTTCTCTGGGGAATCTTCCTCTGAAGTGTATGTAATATATAGACACTTTATCTCTTGCCAATAACAATTTCCCTCTTCCTCCAAATGGATATGGCCATTCATCTTAGGATCTCAAGAAACTGCCATTTTTGGTACTTTCTCTTCTTATTACAAGCCTCTTGCCTCTTCTGTTACCAATACAAGGTTGGAGATTTAGATTCCTGGAACATTCCTTCTTCAGGAAATTCCAATGTCTATGCTAAATGGGCAAAACATCATGTTCTCAGGATTGGAGATTCACTCTGTAAGCCTTTTTTACCCTTCTTCATTTTTGCCTTGATTTTTCTGTTTCTTGGTTTACATTAAAATTGCCTTTTTTATTTATACCTTTTTGCCATTTCTGCAGTGTTTTTGTACCCACCAAGTCAAGATTCAGTAATACAAGTTTCTGCTCAATCATACAAGGACTGCAACACAAAAGATCCAATCTTGTCTATGGACAATGGCAACTCCTTGTTCAACATAACAGAACCAGGGGACTATTTCTTCATTAGTGGGGAAAAGGGTCACTGTGAGAAGTCTCAGAAACTTCATATTTTTGTGGCAGGAGGGAATGCTTCTGCATCATCTCCTTATGATGCAGTCTCACCCACAGCTTATGGTCCATCTTCTGCAGCTTCTGGACCTTCTGCCCCTAATGTTTTTGGGTCTATTCCTTTTCAAGGTTCCACTTCTTCCTCATTGAAGACTCCATTCTTTTTGCCAGTTGTAGCGATTGGCCTGGTTTATATCTCTACTCTTCAACAGAACCATATGGTTATAAGGGCAGATTAATACATTCTTCCCCCCAGTTTGATGTCTTCCTCCATTCTTGATAAAATTCATGTGATTTATAGTAGTAGTTTGGATACACTTGGTGGTGGGTTCTTTTAGAAGTAACTGTTTGGGAGGTTCTTCAAACAGTTATTAGTTATTCTTCATTAGGCCCTTGATCTGCCATTAAAATATTCAATTAGCCCCTTATATAGGAGGTTCTGCCTGGCCGTCACCAATTGCGCTTGTTCCCGGTGAAATTTTTCAATGAAACTTTTTGAGCATCTTCTTCATTAAGTCTAGTTTACTCATACCAAATTTCAACTACAAATTCAACCGAGAAGGCAGTCAAATGATTTTTTGAAGATAACTGCGAAGTAAAACAACACAATACATTTTATAAAATCATTTGACTGTCTTCCCGGTTGAATTTTTAGTTCAAAAATTCATCAAAAAATTCCATCGGGAACTGCCCCTATTAGCGACGGCCGGGCATAACCTCCTATATAAGGGGATAATCAAACACTTTAAGTCAGTTCAAGGGCCTATTTGACCCTTTAGCCTAAAAATATTATTCTCTTGGCAGGATATAGGAGTATATTTTTCCATGTTTGATGTTTTCCTCCCTACCCTGTCAGGCTGTTATTTTTTATTGATGTGTTTATATTACTGAATGATGTTTTATCATAAGAAGAAACTTGGATGTTAAATATGCTGGAATCTGACATTGCAAGATTATGATCAAAATTAGATTTTACACCGGATTAAAAAAAAGT